CTGTTGACAGCTTCGTCATCCCTCTTGTTATGACCTTATACATATTGCTCCACATAAGCCAAAAAAAAAATTTCGGCAGTAGTGACCTCGAACACTTGCAGAATGTCCCTGCTGATTTTCTGCGCTCTCGCCACATTGGGTTTTGCCGCACCTCCTCTTGTGCAGGATCTGAAAGATTACCCATGTGTGGATGGTGTGAATAACGTGGTGACACTTGGTGACATTGACACAGGTAGTTTTGAAACTGTAGTGTGATGTGCTATGCTACAAGGATTGTGAACTTCAGCGGGTACCACAGTCCATGTTGATGGTGCTGTTGCACACCTGTACGATTCGAATGGCAACCCATCGTGCGAAAAGGGCAAACCGATGGTCGCAATGCCAGGACTGATCAGGCTTGTAAAAGGTGCGGTTAGTAATGCATCAGCGCATCAGATGGTATTTGAAGTATGAGACGCACGGAGGTGTGTTATTACTCTAGCTTATTGCCAGGCAAAGTAATTGTCAAAGAAGGAACAGATATCAAGAAGTCCGGAGTAGCCAAATGGACAGTCACAAAGCAGAATATTGGTACTCTGTGCAAAGATGGCGAGAAAGTCAACGTACTCATTCCAGACAAGTTCTGGTAAGCGCCATAGTGTAATTTTTCTAGGTCACTCCAATTTCCGCCCCCATATTTTGAGCCAACTGCGATGCAGGCCATTGTCGATGGGCCCTTCGTTATAATTTCTTTCAGCATGACAAGTGCTTGTATTCAGCAAACAAAACACCTATCCACTTATTGGTGACGACTTTGCCAAGATGTTTGCCACTCCAGGGGAATACGACTTGGAAGTGGTGCGTTCGTTACCTTGCGCTTTTCACTACGAAAATTGAAACTACCTCAAGAGTGTACCTTTTAGCTTCTAAAAACTGCCGGTGTGACCGCTGAGTTTAAGACACCAAAACTCAACGCACACGTCAACGAAATCGTCAGGGTATGCAAATGTTACATACAGCAACGCTTAATTCACTAGGATGTTTTGTTGTAGGGTGAGTGGCAAGCTGTGATGAAGTTCGAATCTGAAGGAAAGACCATTGCTCACATCAAGGCACCATCAAATGATGATTGGCTTTTCGTTGAGTAGATTGTAGAGGGTCATGATAGTAAAATGAGCATTGAACAAATTCTATACGAATTCTTTGACACTACAAACACAGTTTAGTTCCTTCTAAAAATTCTGTTCACGATGAACGAACACGTTGGTAAAAACAAGACCTCTATACACTTAACGCTTCGTTGCTGAAATCGTCATGGAGTATAAAAAAACTATCATGATGTAGAATGTAACGACTCATTTACTTACAAAAACGAATGAGTAATAAGCCCATTGAAGCATAATCAAAGGCATCTTAGCGAGTTACACAACAAGACGCAACTTGCGCCTATCGGTTGCTATATACATTTTATTTATCATAGCTCCAAAGCACCGTCCACCATCTTCCAGCGATCGTGGACTAATGTAACGAAGCAAGCCCTGACACGCGAACAGAACGCGTTTCAATATGGCAAGCACAGCCGCTTCACAAAGTGCTATCAATCGATCTTCAACACTTCAAAGCGAATTTTAGGAAAATCGCTGGGTGGGCGGGCAGACCTAAGGCAGAATGGGAAGCAGGGCTCAGCGCAGAGATCGTAGAAACAAGCTAGAATCTCCATAAGTTCTCCTTTCTTCAAACCTTGGCATGTTGATAGTATATTGTTTGACTTTTTCTGTGCCACAACAGGTTTTTATCGGAACTCTTTATTGAGCCTTAGTTTCGGCGGAAAAACGCCGTCCTCAGAGGCCTGAAAGCGATTCAGTCACTTCCATCAAACGCTTTATGCGATTAAACGCCTTAGCCAACTCGTACGTTTGATTCGTCTTAAAGGCAGTATCCGGGCAAGAACTCGATTTTGAGATTTTGTACTTACCCGGGCCTATTCGCTATGCTGAATCCAAAAATCCACATTGGAGAGCGCGAAAACGACGAAAAAGGGCTCTAACACTGGAGGGAAATCAGCAAGTGGGCGGGGTCTTCCCCACTGTGGATTCACGCTTCCAGCTTCCAGAGCAATTTTCTCAAATCCATTAGCCGCTTGGCCTACAGGGTTTTTCAAAGGCAGTGGCTCGGCAAATCTCAACCTAGTCAAATTTGCGCTCCCTGGGGTTATTCAATACGCTGATCCCGAAAATCCACTTTTGAAAGCTTGAAAACGGCGAAAATAAGCGTTTTTAATGTCATTCCCTTTGGAATTGGACGAGTGCAGCAAGGCGGTAGGGGAACGAAAGCCGCCAGTCTAGGCGGCCTCCGCGGACTGTCCTGAGACGGCGTGCAACAGCACTGCGAAAGGACCAGTTGGACGGGCAGGCAGCTCGAACTGGCGGCTTTCGTTCCCCTACCCGAGCAAGGCCGATGAGCTAAATCGTTGCAGGACCCAATGGTTACAGCGTTGCGGCGGGTAGCCTCCAATGGTGAGAGAGCAATTGCCAACTCATCCAGATGCGTGTAAGATTGGCCTGCGCGTTTAAGTCTGAGAGCGATTTTCTCGGCAGGGAAAGCATGCTTTGCAACCGGGATTGCACTGTTTTCATACTTGGGCTATAAGGACCCTGCCGCGTTAAAATCCTGAGTTGTTGGATTTTGCCGATCCACTGCCTTTAAGTGATCGAAGTCTGGCGTCCACGCCGAATTAACTTACCAAGAGTTCCACAGAAGAGCACGACAAAAGCTCTTTCGGTCGCCTACAGGATATGGTGACAATGAACAGTCCAACTAAGTTGGACATGTTTATGTAGCTGTAGGTTATCTAGAAACCGCAAAATGATAGGAACGGCTTAAGATCATTTGTGATGGACAACTGTTCATTCTTGCTATTCATTTTCGGATTTCGAGCAAGAATGTATGCGGCTTCCAACGCCTTCCGAGCTGAGATGTTATCATCGACTGCTAGTATGTTACAACTTATTTCAAAATCTTCGCCTTCATGGTCGTCCTTCCTATGTTTCCCCAGTGGGCTCACGAGGCTCTGTCTTCGTTTGCTGGCCAGATGTTCATTTACACGCACTGGAAGTGGTCGACCGGTCTCACCGATGTAAATGGCCCGGCATGTTTGACATTTCAACTGATAAACTGCACCACTTCGTGAGCAATCCCCTGACCTTTTATTCGTGCACACAACGCAGTTTGGCGACTTGCAAGCTTTATCGTACAATCGATTTCGAACCAGTTGTTTTCTATGCTGTCTTGTGGTATATTCACTAAGACAACATCATCTTTTAACTGCGCTTGCGCTATACATCGCCTAACTGCGGTCACTCGTCGGATATGAACGGCAAGCACAAAGGAATGCGTATTTTGCTTGCGTTCATGAGTGTTCGCCTGGAGGTTTTGGGCTGCAGTGGGTATCCGTTGTTGAAACGATGACGCGTGCCATTTTCAGGGACTCAAGTCTTTCAATTTCGCCGCTGCATACTCTGCTTGTTGTTCTGAACATGTCGCGAATAACCGCACCTTTCACGGCAGTTGGATGAGCAGAGGTCGCATGCAGAATGATGTTCTTGCTGCTCTCTTTCCGATACCATTTAATGTGTACAGCGCCTTTAGCCAACATCACGTGTGTGTTGAGAAAGTGTAGCCAGCCAACGTGTGGTTCTTCTCTGGTTAAGCAAATGTACTGCGATTGTTCATGAAGCACTCATCCATTTCGGACTGAGTCGATGTGACAACGAAACAATCGTCTATATAGTGGCAGTACAAAAGGGGACATCTCCTTAATACGGGCTCTTCTATCTTGCTCATAAAGCAGATAGCAAGGACCGTAGCTAGTCTTTGCCCCATCGCCAGCCCTCTTAGTTTTTGGTAATACTTGCCCGCCCATCTGAAGATATTACATCCAAGGCATTCCTTGATAAGAGTAAGGATGCGTCAAAAACCAGCTACGGTCCTTGTCAAAGACTAGCTACGGTCACCTTTTCAAAGACGCTGATTTTAATATGGGATTCGAACTGCAAGAAAATTCCAAAAAACCATGCTTTCTGGAGGTCTTTTTCAGGCAGCGCAGACAAGTGCAACGAAGCAATCCCATCGGTTGCAAGCAGGATGTGGCAAGCATAATCACTGAGTATCTCGATGTGCGTGTCGATATAGCATGGTCTGGTCGAAAGGTCGAGAAGAAATCGCTGAGTGGCGGGATACACCTAGGCGGAGTAACCACTTCCTAATCTGCTCCTTCTTGAGCGAATTTCTCGGTGGGGAAATTACCTTTCAGAGCGCAATTTGGGCATTTGCTTGATCTAGGGGCCGACTACCTATAAATTCAAAAGCTCATCATCCCTCATTTTGAGTAGATAGTGCTTCAATAGCCACCACTTAGACGCTTGAAAACATAGTGATACACGCTTGACATGCTCTGCCTTATCCAAAGCGAGAGCAATGAATACAACGACGAAATAAACAAACGGCTTGCTTAAAACGCAGAGACAAGCACATGATAGGCTGTCCTTAGCGTTGATAGCCCGTAACATCGATATTTGCTATTACTGCATGGTGTATTACATTAAAGGCACCGTCCACCCAAAATTTCGACCTCCATGTTTTTGTCGTTCCAGGGCCTTCTCATACTCCGATTCCGAATATCAAGTTGAAAATCGGCGAAAACCACGAAAAAACCCCGTTTTCAGAACCCGCAGAGCGATTTCTTCAGCACGGTGATTGGTTGGCGCGCACGGATGGGCGGGACGAACGTCACGCCCACTCCGAAGGGGAGGAGCCAGCGTCGCGAATGCGGCCTGAAGCGATTTCCGAAAGCAATTTTCTCCGTTCGGAAGCAACTTCAGACAGCGCGAGTTGGGCAATCATACAGTTGGGAGTCCCGCATCTGTTAGGTATCATAAACTCACCAACCCCAATTTGGGTGGACGGTGCTTTTAAGAGCCTGTTTTTTAGATGCACTCGAATCAAGATATAGTCATGAGAAAATGCCCAAAGTTCTAGTCGGTAACAAATGCGATATGGATGGCGAACGAGTCGTATCTTTGGAAAGGGGAAGACAAATGGCTGATCAGCTAGGTATGATTAACCGTATAGCATTCTGTAAACCTCTGACCTTAGCTATATTCCAGGTCTTGAATTTTTCGAGACATTCGCGAAAGAAAACATAGACGTGAAAGCTGTGTTCGAAAAATTGGCTGAGATTATCTGCGACAGAATGGCAGAAAGTTTCGATAAGGTATCTGATCTTTATTGAAATAACTCTCCAGGCTCACTCAAACGAACTGCTTCTACGGCTATTTCAACACAATTTGTCATCACAATGATGTCAGACGTTTCTCGGGCTATTTGAAAATACGTTGACATGATTTACGTAAAAAGCAGATGCATGTCTGTGCTGACGCGAGACATTATTCGTGTTCCGCTAACATTTGAGCTTTCACATCATAAAACGAGATTCCTAATATATTGCATAATAAGTCTATAAATCGTTAAGATTTCGATTTTCTAAGATCAATATTTTCTTTATGCAATCAATAATCTAGCTTTCAAAAAATTCTAGTGCAGGAGCTGCATTTAAATACCTTTCGATTGGGTTCGAAAACTGAAACCCAACAAACTTGAACATAAAAGAGGGACAAACAGGCGATCATAAAAAGCTAGATATTTTCGCTCCAGATTTTCAACCTTCTAAAAATTTCAACCTCCTCCCGGACAATGTAAATTTCACTGTGAAAATTACATGCAAAACTTCCGTCCGAATTTTGCGATATTTTTCTAAGCAACTAAAAAATTAAACAAACTTTCCGTTTGTAACGATTACTTTCTCTAATCGTTCTGCTTCAAATGGAACCCAAGTTTTTGTTAATTTGGGGAAGTGGGATGCTTTTTTGAATATAAAGCATGTAGAGCAAAGAGGAGAACCTGATCTTGTTCGAGCGATTTCTAAAAATGGTAGAAATCGAAGATCAACTGCTTGCTATGAGGTGGAATCAACAACAAAATCAACAACAATTTTCGCTCCAGATTTTATTTTCAACCTTCTAAAAATTTTCAACCTCCTCCCGGACAATGTAAAACTCACTGTGTTATAAAAATTACATGCAAAACTTCCGTCCGAAATTTGCGACATTTTTCTAAGCAACTAAAAAATTAAACAAACTTTCCGTTTGTAACGATTACTTTCTCTAATCGTTCTGCTTTAAATGGAACCCAAGCTTTTGTTAATTTGGGGAAGTGGGATGCTTTTTTGAATATAAAGCATGTAGAGCAAAGAGGAGAACCTGATCTTGTTCGAGCGATTTCTAAAAATGGTAGAAATCGAAGATCAACTGCTTGCTATGAGGTGGAATCAACAACAAAATCAACAACAATTTTCGCTCCAGATTTTATTTTCAACCTTCTAAAAATTTTCAACCTCCTCCCGGACAATGTAAAACTCACTGTGTTATAAAAATTACATGTAAAACTTCCGTCGGAATTTTACGACATTTTTCTGAGCAACTAAAAAATTAAACAAACTTTCTGTTTGTAACGATTACTTTCTCTAATCGTTCTGCTTCAAATGGAATCCAAGTTTTTGTTAATTTGGGGAAGTGGGATGCTTTTTTGAATATATAGCATGTAGAGCAAAAAGGAGAACCTAATCTTGTTCGAGCGATTTCTGAAAATGGTGGAAATCGAAGATCAACTGCTTGCTACAAGGTAGAATCAACAAAGTTCATTTCCTTATATGCATTATACCATGATGACAGACAAAATAGTAGTTTATGAGTACTTTTGTATTGGCGCGAACCAAGCTAATTTTGGGATTACGTTGTGATTTCATAATTTGGGTACGTGAGACCGTCAAAATGATTTCGCTAGATTTAGAAATTCAGCGGCGTCTGTAATTTCGTCTGTCTTTGTCAAATTGCAATGGTCCGCTGTTTTCAAAATATGATTGATAAAGCATACGTTTTGTCATGAAAAAAAGAAATTTTTATTTCGAAGGTCTCAAGTGAAACTCCTGTGGGACTCTGTATGAATAATGCAATATTAGGTGGTTCCTGTGGTAGCTTTGCGTAAAGAATAGAAATGGAATGTCCACACTAAAGATCAACTGAGCTGATTGTTCTTGTTTTTTCATGTCAATTGAAAGATGGGAAAGAAATTGTCCGTCAAAAACGTTTAGTGACACCTCCATATGCGAAGGGGCATAAATTGCACACGCCAATGTATTTTCTTCAGAAGTTTTTCACAATCTTTGGTTTCGCGATCATTCAAAAATACACCAGATCAATTTATTATCATAAGAATTCATTATCTTTTGAACCATCAATTCGTTGAGCGTCCACAAAGGATTTAATCCGCTGAAACCAGAAACAACTATCCTAGCAATCTAGCGATACAAATTTACGTCACTTTGTATATCTGAAGGTATTTTAATTCAGAGCATTTTTTATCGTGGAGCGAATTTGAAATCCAAAGCATTGCGCTTTGAATAGAGGGCAGATGAGCTCTTTTTTGGCTAAGCTGTTTCGGAAGTGGGAAGAATCTAATTAATGGTTATCCTAACAAAAAGGCCGATGTACTAACCAAATGCTATATGAACGTTATGAACGCAAATGTTGTAGCTCCAGAACAGATGGTTTTTTTTGCATCCCTCGCTGAGTATTATGTTGCAGCAGCGCTAATGAGGATTGGATCAATTCTCAAATTACTCAAGCCTTGCTTAGATTATGATAGCAAAAAAGCTGGCTTCACAATTGCAGAATTTTTCTGTTCCAGGTGTAAACTCGACTAATAATGTGATTATCGTAAACGCTTTATTTTTAGTAGTATGTAAATTCGATCTCAAGAACTTGACATCGCTACCACCTAAATGTTTTGCGTTTCTCTTTACTTCCAGAAATTTTCTAAAAGTGTTCATTACGCCTCCTCGCTCGCCTAAGAGTAAACATAGAAGCTGTCATATGATCCTACCAATTCTGCACTACTTTTGTGTACAGTTTACGGTTTTTCTTAAAAGTTTGCCCCTGTTCTTTCAGCGGATTGTGCTAAGAGTGTATAGCTACTTTATGTTAAAAATCGGAAATAAAAGATCTAATACATATATAAACAATCACAAGATCAATTCAAAAAACATCAGATAGCGGGAAAGAGCGGTGGGTCCCGGAGTGCGCGGATACAATCTAGCACCTTCAATTGCTGATTCACTAGTGGTGCATTCAGAAATCATCAGATAGCGGGAAACCGAGCGAGTCCCGAAGCGTGCGCGCCTTCTAGCGCCTTTGAATTACTGGTTCACTATCAGAGAGGAAGAATGCGATCTAAATAGGCTTTATCCACAGAGCTAAATGGATCTTTGAAATGCATATGGGCCTGAAAAAAAAGCATAGGATTTGGTGTAGATTGCAAATGCTTTGGGTTTACCAAGATCTCACCTTTCAGGACCCACAGCAGCAACCGAAAGGTCAGAGGTTGGACGCGACCACTAATCAAAAGCCACCGGCACAACAATGCAACTGCTAGATCTTTTCTGCGGCCATACATAGCTTTATCTCCAAAATATTGCATAATTAGACCATTCACAGTTCTTACTCACAATCTTCTCTTTTTTTGTGAACTCACCATTCAAGCAGATCCGCACTGTACAGCCCTTTAGCTTATCATGGCTGAATGCTAATTATGTTTTGTCTCGTCATTTTCAAGTTTTTCGGTCATCACTCCTTCATGCATTTCCTCTTTTCGGAGCTGAAAATCTCATAAAATACGTTTGCCATAAGTTGCTACTGGCTTTTTTGCCTCTTTTCCGTATGCGAATCGCTTCGTTTATGTTGATTACCTTTTTTATTTATTCGTATCTAATATTTATTCACCAAAGGCTCTACTTTACGCAAAGGAATGGCTCTTATCATACTTTAATCATTCCATGTGTATATAAAGAGCAGTATGACATTAGTATACTTGGATCTTGTATCGATAAAGTTTGACCATAATGGCATGAATCTGCAAAACCGCAAGCAGTGGTTTAGGAAGCAGTCATAGTTTGTCAAAGCAATAAGGTTTCAAGTTCAAAGCAGCACCGAAAAAAAGTATTTGTACCCTTTGATTCAACTGGATTGGCGGCTGGAAGGCGGGGCTTCGTAACTTAATTAAGGCCAGAGAATGATCTGAGAGCACGGCATGGGAGAGACACAGATGCGCCATGGGCGCAAGCGCCCTATTTAGGTTACAAAGCCCCGCCCTCCAACCGGAGAGCCAGTTGTATTAGAGCTTAGTTAAATCCCCTCGTGTCCGCAGTTTTCCTGCGAAACTTTTTTACAATCGAGAAAACGTCGCAAGGCTCTAAATAGGCACTATGTCTAATTTCTGACTGCAAACTGTGTTTCTGTGGCGAAATTAGGGCGATAAGGGGATTTGTCCAGTGAAATGAGAAATTTCACAAATTGTTTTCGCATTTCCATGCGAGATCAAAGCCTGCTAAAATAACGTATGGACTTTTGCTGTATAAGTAAATTCTACAGATTTCGTTCGGCTAGCTAACAACCCTTTGCGATTTTCTGCCACTAAACTCAAAATCGCAAAATTTGAAGCCCCATATCTGAGAGCTTCGTTCTCGTTGGCTAGCTTATGGAGTTTTGTGCTTGAACTTCCGTCGTGGAGCGTGAGACTTCTAATATTTTTAGCACATAAGATTGTGAATTTGGGTTTAGTCTTTGAAAAGTTATTGAATTTTGTTTGATTTACGCAAGAACTTTCGTGCCAGTGTAATAAAGTCAATCTAATTACTGGGCCCTTTTCCCCTCCCTAGTTCAATTTTTTGCTATGTTGACTTGTGAGGTGACTATGAAGAGTTATTTCTTCAAATCGATTACATGTGCTTTGACTAGAGCTTCAAAGCAGAAAAGAAAGAAAATCGGGGATCTTCCCTTCTGGGATGATGGTACTCAGACATTCGCAGTTAAGTCCTGCAAGACTCTTGTGGGAATTGAGACTAGCGAGATAGGTAGTCTTGCGCAAGAACCTGATATCGTCCTGAATTTCGAGCATATATCATGCGATCTCATCGCCCCTTCAAAAGAATAAACTCGGGATCTCGCGCAAGACTACCTTTTTCCCCGATTTTAGCTTTGTGAGTGGACTCTTTTTGGGCCTAAAGGCAGCGTCCGAGCAGAAAGACGACCTCGAGGTTTTGTGCTTGGCCGGGTCCATTCGCTACGCTGAATCCGAAAATCCACAATGGAGAGCGCGAAAACGGCAAAAAATGCTCTAACACAGGAGGGAAATCAGCAGGTGGGCGGGGTTTTCCCGTGTGAATTCACGCTCCTAGCTTCCGGAGCCATCTCTCGATTCCGCTAGCAGCCCTGACATCGCCACCGGCCAAGTGCAAAACTGTAATTTGAAATGGGAACCGAGTAGATCGCTCCGGAAGCTGGGAGTGTGGATTAACACTGGTGAAGGCCCCGCCCACCTGCTGGTTTCCCTTCTGCGTTAAAGGCAGTGTCGGGGCAAAAACTCGATTTTGAAATTTTGTGCTTACCCGGGCTTATTCGCTATGCTGAATCCGAAAATCCACATTGGAAAGCGCGAAAACGACGAAAAAGGGTTCTAACACTGGAGGGAAATCAGCAAGTGGGCGGGGTCTTCCTCACTGTGGATTCACGCTTGCAGCTTCCAGAGCAATTTTCTCGAATCCGTTCGCCGCCCTGACATCACTACCGATCAAGTGCAAACGAGTGCCTTAAAACCGGAATCAAAAAGATCGCCCCGAAGCTGGAAGCGTGAATTCACAGTGGGGAAGACCCCACCCACTTGCTGATTTCCCTCCAATGTTAGAGCCATTTTTCGTCGTTTTCGCGCTCTCCAATGTGGATTGACAGCATAGCGAATAGGCTCGGGGTAACCACAAAATCTCAAAATCGAGTTTTTGCCTGGACACTGCCTTTAAAGCTTTTGCCATTTTAGCGCTCTCCAGTGTAATTATCGGATTCAGCATAGCGAATGGGCCCGGGGAAGCAAAAATCCCAAGGTCGATTTTCTGCCCGGACGCTGCCTTTAACCACGAATATCTGAGTATGGATTGATGCAAGTTGTGTTCAATTTTGCGTACTGTCGGTCACCCTCACATCAGCTATCAGCCAAAATCATTATCTACAATGGTCATTAAAAGTTTCATGGCTATGATGCCGCGTATCTTGAAGATACCCCTATCACCATTTAGAAATAAGTCAGATTCGATTCCTTTTTTTTGACGACAGCTTCAGCTAAATCATCTTCAAAGGCAGTGTCCGGGCAAAATTTTGAATTGAGATTTTGTGCTTATTCAGGCCTACTCGCTATGCTGAATCCGAAAATTCACACTAGAGAGCGCGAAAACGGCAAAAAATGGCTCCAATACAGGACGGAAATTAGAGAGGTGGGCGGGGTCTTCCTCACCGTGAATAATTTACGGTCCCAGCTCCCAGAGCGATCTACTCGGTTCCGATTCAGGTCACGCATTTGCACTTGGCTTGTGGAGATGTTAGGGCGGTTAGCGGATTTGAAAAGATCGCTCCGAGAGCCAGGATCGTGAATCTTATATATAAAGCTGAATGTCTGTTTGTATGTATGTCTGTCTGTCTGTCTGTCTGTCTGTCGGTCTGTATGTCTGTCTGTATGTCTGTCTGTACGTATGTTTCGAATAGAAAATTCCATTTCTGAAGCGATCCGGACCAAACTTGGCACACATACACTTCGGGCCCCGGCGGATGTCATAGGCTACTTCTCGTCATCAAACGATATCGATTTCATCCATTTTTTGCGAAATTTGAGCTACGGGGCTGGGAGTTGGCACAGGGGGGGGGGGTAATCGAGCATGCTGATTACGAATATAATAATGACAGGGCCGGGCGTAGTCGGGTAAGTCAACTAGTTCACATTAAGGAGGACCCCGCCCACTTGTGATTTCCCTTCTGCGTTAAAGCCCTTTTTCGCTGTTTTCGCGCTCTCCAGTGTAAATTTTCGGATTCAGCTTAGCGAATAGGCGCGGTTAAGCACAAAATCTCAAAATCGACTTTTTGCCCGGAAACTGGCAAATCAGATCAGCAAAACTTGAAAACCCAAGATTTTAACGCAGTAAGTTCCTTTTCGTCCAAGTATGAAAACAGTGCAATCCCGGTTGCACAGCATGCCCTCCCTGTCGAGAAAATCGCTCTCAAATTCACACGCGCAAGCCAATCTTACACGCACCCGGGCGAGTTGGCAACTTCCTTCTCACCATTGGAGGCTGCCCGCTGCAATGCTGTAATCATTGGGTCCCGCAACGATTCAGCGCCATCAGCCTTGCTCTACTCGCCCAATCTTGAGGGAAGGGGGTTGAAAAACGCTCATTTTCTCCGTTTTCGAGCTCTTCAAAGTGGATTTTCGTGATCAGCGTATTGAATAACCTCAGGTAAACGAAAATTTGACTAGGTTGAGATTTGCCGAGCCATTGCCTTTAAACACAAAGCAACCACTGGTTAATTGCCTCGCTGAATCAGACTTGATTCGAGAAGGCGTGTGACCAGAGGTGCGATAGTCGGAGCCGAGTCTTCGCCTACCTTCACTTTTGAGCTGGTACGGGGTGACCACCTTCACTTTTGGGTCTGAAAAATTTTTTTTGCTGAAGCTTAAAAGAAGGAAAATAAGCCAAAGAAACGCAAAAGAAAGTATTGAGAGCATATATCCATGTAGGAAGTCGATCTAGGCAGTAACCGTCGAGAGCCAGAATTTCGAATGATAAAATAGCGAAAAAAAATTATGCGAATTTTCTACTGTTATGAATCTGGTAGTTGAAGATGTCAGCAATTGCGACTTTATAGGTTTTGAAGGGCAAGTGTTCTGCGAGATAGTGAAAGAATTAGGTCTGAGCAGTGGTCGCCGAGAACGAGAATTTAAAAATTAAGCGATTTTAGACTTAGTGACAGCTGACGTTTAGACTCCTATAAATCTGAAATGTGAACGTGTGCAGTTGCAACTTCATAGATTTTGTAGAGTAAGGATTGCTCTATCACACAGGTCTCAGCCGTACTGATCCATTGAGATACGCCGAGTGTCCAGCTCAGGGCTCGGCACAGCTGGCACCGGGTCAAGCTGGATATTATACTTGGGGAAATTCGAAATTTTTTTCGAATATTCGAATATGGAATATATTCGAAAATTGAAAATTTCGAATATTCGAACATCGAATAATATTCGAAAATCGAAATTCTCGAATATTCGACTATCGAATAGTATTCGAAAGTTAAAATTTTCGAATATTCGACTTTCGAATAACATTCGAAAATGAAGATTTTCGAGTATTCGACTATCGTATATTCGAAAACTGAAAATTTCGAATATTCGACTATCGAATTTTATTCGAAATCTCAGATTTTCGAATATTCGACTTTTCGAATCATTCGCATTCGAATGATTTATTCGAATGATCGAATAATTATTCGATTCGGTCCCAAGTATACTGGATATCGTTTCTGGGCGGAAAGCAGAGGGGATATCGTTTTTGCGTAGCA